CACCATTCCTCAGGGTGATCAGCCACCAGGTATCCCCCTGAGGAATGGTGCCATATTGAGGGCTCAGTGTTGGTCTCTGCTGCTGAGAAATGGGGCACTCAGCAGAGGCCATAGCAAGGTCAGCCTTGGTGAGTGGAAGTCTATGTTGCTGAACCCGTGCATAACCTCCATCCCTGCCACCATGGCCACTTTGCTTGTGGGCTCATTGGGTGATGACAGGGGTGGCTGGGGAAAGAGGCTGAGTGCTGTCCACAGGATGGGTCATCCTATTCACTTGATAATTAAAATCTTCCTCTGCTGAGGTCACCCGTTGCTGAGAACTCACATGGGGTACAAATATCTTCATGGATTTCTACCCCTCAGAGAGGTCCATCCACATACATCTTCCCCAGATTTCTTTGTCACCAGTTTTCCAATCATGCTTCTTCCAAGTTCCTGACCATTCAGACAAATCATTGGCTGCAGCCCAGAATCAGTATATAATTGCACATCTGGCCATTTCTCCTTCCATGCAAGGTGCACAACCAGATGTACTGTTTGAAGTTTTGCCCACTGGGAATATCTCCCCTCACTGTTGTACTTCAGGGATGCCCTAGAAAGGGGCTGTAGTGCTGCAACTGGTCACTTTTGGGTGGTGCCTGCATATGGTGCAAAGGCATCTGTGAACCAGGCCCCAGTATTCTCTCTCTCTGTCAACAGACCTTAGGGAACTCCCTATGAGGCCATTGGTGCAGGCTGGCGGGAGAGAAGGCAGGGTGGCAGGAGTGAGGACCATGGGCTTTTGAGCCACTTCCTCATGAAACTTACTTGTGCCTTCAAGACCTGCTCAAGCTCGATCATGTATATACCACTTCCATTTGATGATGGAATGCTGCTGGACCCGTAACCCGCTTTATGGCTAGATGGATCAGAAAGCATCGAGTTCATGATAGGCAGCTCACATTTCATGGTTACTTACTGACAGTCAAACGTTCAGTTTCCAGCAAAACCCAGTAACAGGCCAAGAGCTCTCTCTCAAAACGAGAGTAGTTATCTGCAGAAGATGGCAGGGCCTTGCTCCAAAATCCAAGAGGCCTCCACTTGATTCACCTATGGGGGCCTGCCAAAGGCTCCAAACAGTATCCTTATCTGCCACAAACACTTAAGCATCATTGAATCTGGTGAGTCATATGGCCTAAGTGGCAGAGAAGCTGGCATAGCAGCCTGGACTTGTGGCAGAGCCTTGTCCTATTCTGGACCCCACTCAAAACTAGCAGCCTTTTGGGTCATTGATAAATAGGCTGGAGTAAACACATCCAAATGAGGAATGTGTTGCCTCCAAAATCCAAGTAGACCTACTAGGCTTGTACCTCTTTCTGGTTGTAGGAGTGGCCAAATGCAGCGACTTATCCTTTACCTTAGAAGGAATATCTCAACAGGCTCCACACTGCTGGACCCTAGAAATTTTACCGAAGTAGAAGGTTCCTGAATTTTAGTCAGATTTACTTCCCATCCCATCTTTTGGCATCCAAATTCACCAATAACTTCAATATGTTTGCTACTTCTTGCTCTTTGGATCCTATTAGCCTAATGTCATCAATGTAATGGACTAGTGTGCTATCTTGTGGAAGTGAAAAGCAATTAAAATCTCTCTGAATAAGATTATAACACAAAGCTGGAGAGAGGATATACCCCCAAGGTAGGACAGTAAAGGTATATTGCTGGCCTTGCCAGCTGAAGGCAAATTGCTTCTGGTGGGCCTTATGGACAGGAATGGAGAAAAATGCATTTGCCAAGTTAATGGCTGCATATCAGGTACCAGGAGATGTGTTCATTTGCTCAAGCAATGAAACCACATCTGGTACAGCACTGCAATTGGAGTCATCCTTGGTTAAGCTTATGATAATCCACTGTCATTCTCCAAGATCCATCTGTCTTCTGCACAGGCCAAAATGGAGAGTTGAACGGGGATGTGGTGGGAATTGCCATTCCTGCATCTTTCAAGTCCTTGATGGTGGCACTAATCTCTATAATCTCTCCAGGGATGAAATAATGTTTTCAATTTACTATTTTTCTAGTTAGAGGCAGCTCTAATGGCTTCCATTTGGCCTTTCACGTCATCATAGCCCTCACCCTATAGTCAGGGAGCCAGCGTCAGGGTTCTGCCAGCTGCTAAGTATGTCTGTGCCAATTATGCACTCTGACACTGGGGAAATGACCACAGGATGAGTCCAGAGACCCACTGGACCCACTGTAAGTCAGACTGAGGTAAAGCTCCATTAATTACCTGACTTCGAATAAGCCCCTGCTTTAACTGGAGGACCACAATGATATTTTGGGTCCCCTGGAACCAATGTCAGCTCACAGCCAGTGTCCAATAGTTTCCAAAATGTCTGATCATTTCCCTTTCCCCAGTCTACAGTTACCCTGGTGAAAGGCTGGAGGTCTCCTTAAGGGTGGGACAAAGATTCACTGCATAAATTGTCAGTAATATAGCGGGGTCCCTCCTCAAGGGGACGCAGCCTCCGCTTCAAGGTAGCTATGCCCACCTTGCCTTTTACAGTTGAGTGCCGCTGCTTGGCCCTTGACTCCTTGGGATCCAATTATTTTCATTGTATTTAAATTTTGTAGTTGGATGACTGTGGTTCCCACAGTTAGATCTGACATACAGAGAAGAGCAATTATAAGGCTCTTCAAAGATGCAGGTGCTGCCCTCACAAATCTAATTTGCAAGGCACTGGTCACCTATATGTCTTCTGGACCATCCCAGCTGGGATGAGTAGGTCTAAATGGACTAATCCACTCCACCATTCCAATCTCCCTAAAGCTTTGGATCTTTTCCTCTGCATTAAACCAAGGGACCTTAGGCATTTCCACCTCACTCACAGTTTACCGCCTTTTAACCATATTTCAGCTAACCAAACTAATGAACTTTTAGAATCTTTTTTAGCCCCCTGAGTCCCTACTTAGTAGGCCCAAATCAGTAAATTCAGCCTGATCCAACTCTATGTTCCTTCCACCATTATCCCACACCTTTAATACCATTCCCATGCCTGTTCTCCAGATTTCTGTTTATATAAATAAGAGAACTCAAGCAGTTCTTTTTGAGTGTAGCACAGCTCCTCATGTGTCACACTCTCAACCTCACCTCTAGGGGCCACTGGGACTTTAGTTATAGGTCCAGAAGTAAACAGAGGTGTTAGGGGTGGCTCCTGAGGAGAATCAGCATTACTGTATTTTGCCTGGCAGCTGGCTCAGGGGAGGCCATCACTGTTGCCTCAGTCCAATGTTCAGTAGCAGGAAGCATGTAGCACAGGAGAAAGATGTAGGCTGGGAGGCTAGGCAAATCTCTCCTTTTTACGTTTTTCTGCCTGCTTTATATTTGCTGGCAGCTGATTCTATTGTGCCTACCAGATTAAGGGGTGGACCCACCTTCCCCAGCCCACTGACTCTCATGTTAATCTCTTTTGCCAGCACCTCACAGACACACCCAGGATTAATACTTTGTATCCTTCAATTCAGTCAAGTTGATACTCAGTATTAACCATCCCAGGTAGACTTTCAACATGGATATAACTTCTGAAAATTAATATGCATCATTTTCACAATGTGACATCGTCCCCTATTTTCTTCAAACATATAGCTTTCTTGTTCTATTTTATACCACTTTACTTTTGAAACCACGAGGGGTTTCAAATCATACAAACAAGCAAGGTCTGAAGAGTAGCTTCTGTTCAGCCCCTTAGGCATTTCTTTGAGAAACAGACTACTTTGTACACATGTCAGCCAATATGACTAAGACAAACAGAATATCCCTGCAGTCTGTTACGTTAGCCTGCAGGAGCCCCATTTTTCACAGCCATACAGTAAGGAGGAAAGGGAGGAAAAGGGACCTATCAAGTGATGATGATTGAAAAGGAAAGTATTTTGCTTTGTATGGAATGCGGTACTTTGGAGAAAAATCAAATAGTTATTATAATTATTGTTTCCTTGGTTATTTTTTTTCCCTGAAACCACTGGATGTTCTATCCTTGCTGACTTGCCAATAGAATCTTTAGTATTTTTTCTTTCCTGAGATCAATATATTGCTATGCAAGAAATTTCTATTGCTTTATTCAAACCCTCCTGCGGTCCTGTTTATCTGCTTTTCATCAACCACTTTTTGGATTGCTTTCTTCACTGTCCTTGTGAAACAAATGTGGCACCTTGTAATTATCAAGTTCCAATTCCATATCGGTCTATTTTACTATGCCTTATCAAAAAATACTATGCTGCATTAACTGCACACACTCTAATTTTGGTTACGTGTTTTAATTCATTTAACCTTTTCATATTTCTCATCCCTCATATTTCACAAATATGGTCCTCAAAATTTTATACTTAGACAATTTGGATAAACTTTAAAAATAAACAAGAATTGAGAGTTGATATACCAAAGCACCCTTTTTATTGCAGTTTCTCCAATTTATAAACCAGAATCTAGAGCAAACCTAATTCAGTGTACATTTATTTTTGCTTAAAAGTCCAGTTTGAGGCCGGGCGCGGTGGCTCAAGCCTGTAATCCCAGCACTTTGGGAGGCCGAGGCGGGTGGATCACGAGGTCAAGAGATCGAGACCATCCTGGTCAACATGGTGAAACCCCGTCTCTACTAAAAATACAAAAAATTAGCTGGGCATGGTGGTGCGTGCCTGTAATACCAGCTACTCAGGAGGCTGAGGCAGGAGAATTGCCTGAACCCAGGAGGCGGAGGTTGCGGTGAGCCGAGATCATGCCATTGCACTCCAGCCTGGGTAACAAGAGCGAAACTCCGTCTCAAAAAAAAAAAAAAAAAGTCCAGTTTGATTATGTCAAAAACTCCCATTTTTTTAATCATACATGATAATGTGTAGAATATATAGTATTACTTGTTTTGTTTGTTTGTTTTTTCTCTGTCTGTGTACCAAGAAAGATTTGCCCTGTTTCTCCACATTCTTACTTGGAACCTCTGTATAGATGCAGAGACCATTTACAGGAAATCTGATGTAGTGGAGGAGATTTATTTTCCCTTCCATTTCTTCAGCAGAGTTTCTCTTACTTTCTTATTACGAAGCATGTAGATGAAGGGATTTAAAACTGGAGTCACCACAGTGTTCAGGACGTGGACAGCTTTGGTCAGATCCAAGGCGTCTTTGACAGAGGTGCGGACGTGAAGGAAAATTGTGGACCCGTACCAAATGAGCACCACAGTGAGATGCGAGGAACATGTGGAGAAGGCTTTGCTCTGGCCACTGGCAGAGGGGATCCTGAGGATGGTCTTGATGATGTAGACGTAGGAGACAAGGGTGATGAGGCACGAGCTCAGGATGACCACAAAAGCAATCACAAAGGTCACAAACTCTACTGCCTGTGTGCTGGTGCAGGCCAGTGCAATCCAGGGTGCAATGTCACAGAAGAAGTGGTTGATGGCATGGGGGCCACAGAAGGACAGGCCACTGATGAGGGCTGTGGGCACTGCAATGGCCATGAAACCACACACCCAGGAACCCAGGGCCAGCTGGGCTGAGAGCAGGCTATTCATAATAGCTCTGTAGTGTAGAGGATAGCAAATGGCGAGATAACGGTCATAAGCCATGGCTGCCAGGAGGAAGTACTCTGTGCAGCCTAATGAGAAGACAAGGTACATCTGCAAAAGACAGCTTGTAAATGATATGGTCTGACTTCTCCCCAGCAGGATGGCCAGTGCTTTGGGGACTGCGGCTGTGGTATACCAAATCTCCAGGAAAGAGAGGTTGCTCAGAAAGAAGTACATGGGGGTATGCAACTGATGGGATGTGCTCACTAACATCAAGATAGCCACATTACCACCAACTGTGAGGATGTACATCACTAGAAAAAGCACGAAGAGAGAGAGCTGAAGAGTTTGAGAACCGGGAAAGCCCAGTAGGAGAAAGTCCTGGGTCAGAGTTTTGTTGCCTGTGTCCATTGTGGTACTTAAACCAGAAAACAGAGTCCCTGCATTGAGCCCTTTAACCCAGTTACACAGTCCTAGAAAGATAAAAAGAACTGGATTCATGAAAGAGCTCCAGTAATTAAATGCCTGCTCTGTGCTTGAAGGCATAGTTAATATCAGTCATTTTAATGAAACAGTGAGATATGTATTATTATAACCAATTATCTGTTTAGAAAAATAAGCGTGCAAAGAATGTGAGCAATTCTAGAAAGACTGCAGAAACAGCCACACTTCACCTCCAAAATTCAACTCCAGTCTTTTTGCCTTCATCCCACTCTGAGCAATCTCCAGCTTAGTCCCCGATTACATCTAAACCCACAAAGGGCTGACTCAATTTACCACTTTTTAACTAGACTCTACATGGCCCCTGACTGAAACGTGTTATTTTGTTTTTGTTTAGAAATTGGCCCACTAAACCTAGGTTCTAGTCACACCCATATTTAACAGCTGTAGCTTCTAAATTGATCAATTCATAAGATTCATCTTCAAAAATAATGTTCAAAAGTCATCAAAGGTAACTTTAAAATTAGTTTCAAAATGAATTTTTTCTTCCCTTAATGAAATCATGTTTAAACATTATATGATAGATACTTCTTATCAAAAATATATATTTTCATATCGAACAATGTACTGAAGATAACAATCTAGGAAGTCCTGATGCCCATTTGCAAGTGAGTCCACTGAAAGCCTGTGAAGGGCAAAAAATCATTTTGAAAACATTTAAAAAAAATTCTCATAGTTATTTCTAAGTACTACTTTTGAGAATTGAGTTTATAAATTAAAAGATCAATTGGGAAGCTATTCCTGTGACCAACGTACAGGTGACCAAAACCTATATTTAAGAGACAGAGTTTTGAAGAAAGACAGTGAAGACTTTGGTGGCTTCACTCTAGGAATTCCCTTATGAATAGGAATGTTCCCTCTCCATTGTCGTGTGTCATACCCTTGTATTCACCAATGCCAAATGTTGTTTCCTGCATAAATTCAAATTTATTGCATATATCCAGTGTCACTAAGCACATTTAGACTATAAAATGGGTCTACAATGTAAATGGGTACATACATTGGGTTTACCTCAATTATGGTAGAAGGGGCTTCCAAGCAGTGCTTCTTAAGCTCTAATGGGCATATGAATCACCTAAGGGTATTGCCAAAATGCAAATTCTGATTAATGCACCCTTGGGATAGAGCCTGTGGTTTTTCATTTCATATGTTTCCAGATGTCACTGGCCAGGACCATACATTGAGAAGCAAGGTTCTAGCACCTTTCTCATTTTATAAAAAAAAATAATAATAAATCCGAAGGTTTGCTTGATTGGGTAATGAAAAGTTCAGAGTATGCCACCACAAAATGTGCTCCTCTGGCATTGGATTATTTTGAGCTGAAGACAATTGTAAAATAACAAAAACAAAAACAAAAAACAATAGAGAGACACAAGAAAAACTCTAGGGTCTTATCATCCCAGAGAAGGCAAAAGAGGAGTCTGCTCAACAGACCTTGCTTAAATAACCCATATCTTCCATTAATCTCCTCATATATCTACCTTCCCACTATCTGTACCCCTAAGAACCCCCTTCCTTTGTCTTGTCACTTCTCTGCAAATTTATTGTATTTTTGTTAAAATACTATATAAGCCCAAGTTCTAACCAATTCTTTGAGTTACTTATCCCTGAGTTCTCCCGTGTGTATATGTGATGCACTTGTTAATAAAGTTCTGCTCTTTTCTTGCTTATATGTCTTTTGTCAGTCTAAATTGCAGGATTCCATCTACTGAACCTAAGATGGGAAAAAGAAAAATATTTTCCCCCCCTCTACACTAGTAAAGGTGCCTAGATTATAAATTCATTACCCTAATACAGGAAAAAATGCTCTAAATGCTGATGAGTGAGACAGAGTAATAAGAAACACAAAGAAAAGATGCTCTTTAACAATAAATACTAAATAATAAATTTGCAAATTTCTTAAAGCTAATATATTGCAACATATATATTATTAATGGCCAACCAGTATATGTAATAACTGTTTTCAAATTCAAGTGCCAAGGTCAATTGTTAATGTCTTTTGGTATAATCCAGTTTTTTCTTAAAGGTCATCAAGGAGCATTGTAAAAACAGCAAAAAGTAACTAACATAGTGGATGGTAAATTGCCAGTCACTAGACTATTAGCTAACATGATCTTTGTAAATCCTGTTAGCTTGCTTTTATCCTATTTGTTTTACAAAGAGAAAACTGAAACACAAAGAAACTGAAGAATGTATTCAAAGTGGAGCCATAGCTATCAATCCCAGATGTCTGATTCTAGAGCCAAAGCACTTTGAACTTGAGGCTTTCAGACATTTTTTATAGGTTCCTCTGGTATCTGATTAGCAGATTTTAAAAATATTTTAATTTATGTTCAGGTAGAAATCACTGGGCAAAGCTGTTTTGAAAATCTAGTACAAAATAATTCTATCTTGACCTTTTATGATTAATGTGAATAAAGCAATTATAATTTTCTATATTCAAAATTCAAAAATCATTTTGGTAACTAAAAATTAGAAAATAAATATCCAAAACCAAATTATATAATGACATTTTCAAATTTTACTTTCAATTATGCTGCTGAATTTGTCAGATACCATGACTTAATATTTACTTGAATCACATGATGATTATGCCCCACATTTAAAAACCTGTATATATTGCTCTGGACTTGAGTGTTTTTAGTTTTACTTCTATGATAGCCTAAGTGAAATTTGTGGATGTGACTTAACAAGAGTTTAAAAGAAAAATCAGAGAAAAACTTTGATATATTAGGTTCAAATAAATTACCTTTTAATGTTTCAAATTAATTATATATAAGTATATAAGTAAATTGAGTTTTTAATAATTCTGAGTATAAGTAATTTTAATTACATCTGAAAAGTGATTCTAAATTCATAACAATTATTTTTATAGAAATATGCAATATTTTATTAAAAATGCCTATATTAAAATTATTTCTTAATTTCATGAGGTTTCCAGTATTGATTGAATGCTATAACAGATCATTGATTGAATGCTATAACAATTACAAATTTACCCATCAGGAGGGCATGGTGGCTCACACCTCTAATCCCAGCACTTTGGGAGGCCAGGGCAGGAGGATCACTTGAGGTCAGGGATTTAAGACCAGCCTGGCAGACATGGTGAAACTTCATGTCTACTACAAATACAAAAATTAGCCAGCTGTGGTGGTACATGCCTGTAGTCCCAGCTACTCGGGAGCCTGAGGCACGAGAATAATTTGAACCCAGGAGGCAGAAGTTGCAGTGAGCCAGGATCATGCCACTGTGCTCCAACCTGGGCGACAGAGTGAGACCCTGTCTCAAAAAAAAAAAAAAAAAAAAAAAAATTACCCATCGATGAAACACTGGACAGACCATGTCGAAAGCATAATCACCCTTTCTGCTTACCCAGTTGCAGGCCTTTCTGCCATAAACACCAAAAACGTTGTCTCTTGACCTTACTTTTACTCATTTTTTTATTCCATGATTTTCTGTATTTAAAAATAATATATTTTGATTGCAATTATTCCCTCTATCTCTGTTTTTCCTTATCTTGCAACTTAATAGTGTGCTTCCTACTGTTGACATCCATTACTCTTTTATTAACTCAAACTTTCATAGTCTTTGAAGCTTGAGCTCAGTCTTTTTCTGTTTCCCTTTGTTCTTATACTCTGATCCCATTCTGTCCTAGTTTTATTCCACTTCCCTTTTGGTGTTTTATGTTTTTTCTACCCCTTTTCATCATAATTGGCTCCACACTGGAAACTGCTTGCTTTTAAATAATTGCTTATGTATGGATGAATCTTCTGGGAGATGAAGTCTCTCTCAGGTACCTAGGGCTAGTTCAAAAAAGTTGTACTAAATCTTTCCAAATGGATGACCTCTGAATCTTTTCAGTTGTTTGATTTAAACAACTAAATTGTGAAGTTAATAGAATAGGAAAAGGATATTTCTTTAGGCTTTACATACGCTAATCTGAGTATTTTGTCTCGTGGAGAGCTTTTAGCAAATACAGCTATTTAATAAGTTCAACAAATTTGTAAAAAACTCTTTAAAACAAATCAAACAGAATAAAATTGGAGAATGACCGTAACTAAAAATATAATTAAGTAACATGAAGCATGATATAACTAGAAGTTTAAAATTATCTCTGAACTAAAAAAAAAAAAAAATCTGCCTGGCTGTTCATCAGACTAAAATAGCAAGGGAACAAAAAGCCAGTTGTAAATATATCAGAAAATAATTTTACCCAAGGACATGTTGCAGTTGTAAATTGTCATAATGACTCCCTTCTTTGAGTGAGAACTGTTTTCTCACTGAGTGAGAAACTTTCTTATTGAAAATCTTCGATATCAGAAAATTTGTTGTTTTTAATTATATGGCTAAGAATAAAATATGGCACCCTTTCTGGGAGTACCTAATTCACGCTGACGGAGACATACAACCTCATATTCTATTCCAGGAGCAGAGCTTCAGATAAAAAGTTTCTGAACACAAAATTTCTCATGTATCTTAATTTTATAGTTTCTAAGGAAATAGAACATTTGAGTCCAGATCAGATGTTGACCCTTCATAAGCAGCTTTCTTTGCTTTCAGCCTGTAAAATCACTCCTTCTTTTAAATTTCACCTTAACTTTACCCTTTCCCAAATTTAAAATAATTTTCTTTTACATTATTTAATGAGACACCTTGAGATCCTTGTGGTTTGCACCCTCCTTCACGTCCATGAGTCAGTAAACCTGACTGCTGGACTATAAGGATGCTTCTGGAAGACTTAGGCTGATTGAGCTCAGGTAAAACTGGAAGAGTGAAAATACATGCCATGATTCTTCTATAGAAATATTTCCTGAATTCTAGAAAATCTACTTGCAAACTTGTAACTGTTCTATACAATTATATTTTAATTTATGGTATATTACCATCTATGTACTTGTAGGGAAGGGATAATAGCTTTCCTTCACCCTTCTAGGTTGTTTGACAGGGCTACAAATTAAATTCCCACAAGACAGATTAACAGGAGAAAAACTATATTTAATAATGTTCATATACACAGGAGTCCCACAAAATATGAGATTCAAAGAAGGGCCATATGGTTGTGGATTATGTAACATGCTTAGCTATAGATTAGATTGGTGGGTAGGATCTCTGGAGCATAGCATTGACAGGTTATGGCAGCATGAGGGGAGGCAATGTGTTGTGCATACACCTTGTCTTGTTATGTAGATAAAAAGTATATCAGATAATGAAAGTTGCCTTTGAGCAGCCTTCTTCCTGATACAGATACTTTTACTAACATAGATTTTCTCTATAGACATACTTATTTAAAACAATAAAAAAGTAACCGTGTGTGCAGTTTCTCAAAGTAACCTGCTAGAAATTTGCCCAAGAAGTGTACTTCGAGGTCACGTGTTCTGATCTCCTACAGTCATATTTTGGAGTTGTATTCCATGTCCTGACACATTGATAAGGAGTTTTTAAGAAAATCACTGAGAAATAAATGACTGTGCAAAACAATTTAAGAGATAGAAAAGAAGTAATAGAATTTCTCTCTGCTGTTTAATATGTTTAGTTTATTTGTTCATGTGAAAAATCTAAAAATATCTTCTACAATAACAGCAGTAATGCTTATGTTTGGGCTGAGAAAATGATACCTCAAAGTATGACAGTGTGGTATGCTGAGTACTTTGGAAAACTGGATAACTATATGCAGAAGAATGAAATTGAACACTGTCTTACACAATATACAAAAATCAATGCAAAATGAATTAAAGTTCCATGACTTTGGTCTCGGCAATGATTTCTTGGGTAGGAACCCCAAAACATTGGCAACAAAAGCATTAGACAAATGGGATTGCATCAAACTAAAAAGCTGCTGCCCAGCAATAGAAATAATTCGCAAGTGAAGAGACAAACTGAATTAGGGGAAAAGTTTTGCAAACCATATGTCTGATACAGAGTTAATATCCAAAATATATAAGTCACTAAACTCAATAGCAAGGAAACAAATAACCTAATTTAAAAATGGGCAAAGGACCTGAATAGCTATTTCTTAAAAGAAGGCATATGGTCAACAAATCTATGAAAAAGTGCTCAGCATCCCTAAAGATCAGGGAAATGCAAATTAAAACCACAATGAGATATCACCTCATACCTGTTAGAATGGCTACTATGAAAAAGATAAAAGTTAAACATTTGTCAGTGAGGATGTGAACTTTGGCATATTTAGGTTTGTAATTCATTTGAATTTTATTTTTTGTACGTGTAGTGTAAGGTGGGTTTTAAAAATATTTAATTCTATTTTTTCTACATTGTTTTCCTTTCTAGTCCTTTCTTTTCTAGTGATATATGATTTATTCTCTGTCATATTTTGGTCACCATTCATGAATGGATTACGTTTTCTTCCATTGGTCCATATTCTATCTCCAAACAGCCCTACTCTTTCAATGACTATAATGTTATAGACACGTTTCTATCTCTATGTACTTTTTCGTCTTAAAAATTGTTTTAATTTTCATGGCTGTTCAGTTGTATATATGAATTTTTTAAAAACTTAAGTTCCATTTTGAACTATTTTAAGACTTCAAATAAAATGTTAATAGTTACTTATGGAGAATCAACACCTTTATTGAGTCTTCTCATCTCTGTACACAGTATGTAGTCCAACTGCTTTCATTTTGTTTATACCCTTAAGTAACTTAAAAAATTATATTCTCCAAAGGTTATTTTTCCCCTTTGATGAGAGTTGTTCTTGGATACCATATACTTTTCAATGTTCTTGTAACTATGTAATGCATCTTTAGTTTCTTTTAATCTAGGACTCTCTCTTGGTCATTTTGCCCCCAAACTTTGACTTTTTGAGCACTCTCTTCAGTCTCTTATAGAATGTCTCATATTATTTGTTTGTTCAGTGGTTTTTCATGTGGTATTATTTGTTCTTCTATCTTCCGTTTTTCTGAAAACTGGAAGTTAGCTCTCAGGCTTGATTAAACTCCAGCTTAAATATTTTTAAGAGAATATTTCAAGGATGATGTAGTCTACATATTGCAACATATCAGGAGGCACATAACTTATTTTACTATTATTGATACCAATTTTGATCAGTTAGATTAAGGAGGCTACCATAAATTCATTTTATTGTAAATACAGAATAGATAATTTGAGGTTAAAATCTGTCATTATGAAGATATTTCATTTTCTTACAACTCTTCTTCCAGTGGTTTTATCATCCATGGCTGATTCTTGCCTGAATCAATTTCAATATAGATGATTAATATAGTGAATTTGCTAATTTTATTATTTCTTAAAAATTTACTAGCTGCCAGTCTTCGAAACAAACTGATTTTTGATCAGTTTTTCCTTGGTAATTAAAATATATTATAGAAAAACAGGGCACTTGATATAATTTGGACAGCTGTCATTAAGATGGCTAACTAGAAGTGCCCAGCACTCACCTATTCCACAAAGAAGGACTGAAATAGTAAGTAAATAACCAAATGTTGACTACACTGTCTAGGAGAGAATGCTGGTTGTATCCAATGCTGGTTCTGGTTGACCCAGAACCACGTCTGGGAAGGAAGTGAAAGGAACCCTTCGAGGTATGGAAACTCAAGATGGCAGCATGGAAAAGGAAGTAAAGCAGCCAGTTGGATGGGCTAGAAGCCAGGAAGCACTTCCCTTCTCATGTGGGAAAAAGATAAATGAGAGATCCACATAAGTACACATGTAGGCACCTGCACACACTGTCCAGAGGCTGAGGAGTGGTATGTCCAGCCCACTGCAACCTACACAGCTCACTCAGGAGCCTGAGGGCCAGCCTGCCTAGCATGCTGCTTCTACAGCGAGCATCTGTGTGCCCTACTCAGAGGCCCAAAGGCTGGCCCACTGAGGGTTCACTGCCACTG